TGTTGAATAAACAAACCAATTATAGACTAATGATTTGATTTAAACAAGTCATTATGATGATTACATAATTATATGTTACATTGGATTGTAAATATCTATTTATCTCTTCTATGTGTGAATTAAATAAAAACTTTTCCCCCGTGATATTCCAAGTTATCATGGAAAATAACTTCATATTTATATACTGATGCTGCTTTACCAACAGAACCAATCATACTCATTTTCGTATCGATTTAAAATAATTCATCTGAATGTTACTCAAATATATGGCATACTACACTTACCTGCTGTCATTAAGCATCGATACTTTTTACAAATTCCATTTATCCTGATTCAAATATTTCACCAAATCATCCGAATTTAATATAAATTATTCATTATTTCATTATGGGGCCGGATTGACGATTCAAATATGTCACCAAATCATCCGAAGTTAATATAGATTATTTATTATTTTATTATGGGGCCGGATCGACGTGGGACGGATCGACTTTGGGCTGGATCGACTTGGGGCCGGATCGGTTTGGGGCCGCACCGACCTGATACCCGTCCCCTAATGTATATGGTCCTTCATACCCAGACATTGGTACTCTTACCAAAAAGACTTGAGAAAGGATGATGACGTTAGATTAAAGTAACTAACAACAAGGTAAGAAGATCCTCAATTCCATTTTCCAACTAGGTAATATTCAGTATTGTCTCTCTGCTTCGGCATTAATTCCCTGAAACAAAAATTCATATTCCGTGTTTTAGTATTTAGATCAAGAGCAAATAATAAAACCGCGCCTAGAAATGCTTTGCGACTCATGCAGTGTTTCCAACATGTCGTATATGTGCGATAATACTATTTGAATAAAATTTATATAGTGACAGGGACATGACGATTAACATCGTCCACCCGAACGTACGTCCGTCCATCCGTTGCGAACTTGGTTAAGTTTTTGCATTTATGATAAAAATAAGGAGATGTGGTATGATTGCCATTGAGACAACTATCCACCAAAGTTCAAATGAAGTGGATGTAAGCAATTATAGGCAACCGTACGGCCTTCAACAATGAGAAAAACCATACCGTTTATAGTCGGCTGTATGTCAATTTTTCACTTACGCTTGGGTAGTACAATAGTGTTCCCTACTAAAAAGGTCACTTTAACCTAGATTTATTCGCATAAGAAGTGGAAAATCAGATGATATTTTGCAGTCATTTTCTACAAGCAATAACCAAGTAGTTTTAAGAAATCGAAATATTTTAAAGAGTATCATTGAAGTCATCTTACTATGTGCAAAACAGAATTTAGCGCTCTGGGTTTATACGGAAAAGGACAGCGATTTCATTGCAATTCTTCACGACAAGGCAAAGAGTAACGAAGTTCTGGCTTACTATTTAGCGCATTACCGGACCCAAGAACTAAATATACGTCTCCCTACATACAAAACGAACTCTTATGCTGTGTGCGGATCAAATACAATCTGACAGGGTTGCCCGATGCAACAGCACACAATCTTAATTTGGCCATAGTGCATGCTTGTAAGAAAGCACTCGTTCGTAATCTTATGGACACCTTGCAGGCGATCGCGTTTGCTTTTGATTATTCAGCGAAGCGTTTGACCTCATTCCAGGAAAAGGTACTGCCCCAAATGAGGTTATGGAAGAAATGGGTAGACGACAGAAGTTGAAGACCTAGTGCGAGACAGGGTGGGCTAGTAGGTCTGATTCTTTATTCACTTTTCTTCATGCATACTCTGTGGTATGTGATTCTCTTGAGGATCTCGAGCAAGATGGGGATGCAAAAGCCAGAAGTTATCGATGTTCAATAACTAAATTTGATTTCATTGTTGGTCTTCAGTGTCGCTCAGGCTATTTTACAACCTATGGCCCGCTGTCTGTGCTTTTGCAAGCTAAAGACTTTGATTCAATTCAGGTTGTCGAAATGCTGCAAAGAAAACGCGAATCCGACGACGATTTGGATCAATTGTACAAGTGCCGTAACTGTTGCTAATGGTGTTGATGTAGTATCTTCGATGCCACGAGGGACAACAAGACAACAGCATCGGATAAATGGTTCAGCTGCTGGACCGAAGGAGTATTGGAAACGGGCGTTATTCGTCCCGTTTATTAATCATCTACTTCAGGAACTAAGAGATAGGTTAATAAAAAAAGAAGACAGGTTTGTAGCGCAGTATTTGATTCCGTCAAAATTATAGAGTTGCTCTGTACAGGTTGTGGGCCGTCTTTTCAACACATTTGCGGATGATCTTCCATCTGACCATTCAACATCAAAATAGTCATTGATGCAAGATCTACACAAAAAACTCCAGATTAGCGATACAGGCTCTTAGGCGCCTCTTTTAATGCCATACCTAGGGGCATTATGTTTTTCGGTCTGTGCGTCCGTCCGTTCGTTCGTCCGTCCGTCCGTCCGTCTTTTCCGCTTCAGGTTAAAATTTTTGGTCAAGGTAGTTTTTGATGAAGTTGAAGTCCAATCAACTTGAAACTTAGTACACATGTTCCCTATGATATGATCTTTCTTATTTAAATGCCAAATTAGAGATTTGACCCAAATTTCACGGTCCACTGAACATAGAAAATGATAATGCGAGTAGACAGGTTAAAGATTTTGGTCAAGGTAGTGTTTGATGAAGATGAAGTCCAATCAACTTGAAACTTAGTACACATGTTCCCTATGCTATGATCTTTCTAATCTTAATGCCAAATTAGAGTTTTGACCCCAATCACGGTCCATTGAACGTAGAAAATGATAGTGCGAGTGAGGCATCCGTGTACTATGGACACATTCTTGTTTATTATGTTGATTTATGAAATTTACTCGGAAGTACAAACCTGATGTTTCGTTGTAGAGCAGGTGAATTTTATATCAACAGATCTACAATTTAGTCAACATAGCCGAAATCATCAATTTACCTTTTTTTTTTTTTTTTTTTTTTCAGAAATTATAGTAGATAGAGAGAATCTTTGGGATAGTAAAATTGTTCAGCAAAATAACATCTTTCCGGTGAATTATTCAAATGACATCAATCTTCAATTGGCCCCTTAAAGGAGTTATTGTCCTTGAAGGATAATTTTTACCCCTTTATTTTTTGAAGAAACTTGAGCAGGTATAGAGCATTTTTATTAGTAAAAATGATCCGCAAAATTAGATTTACAAATGAGTCGAAATCGTCAGTTGATCCCTTATATATAGGAGTTATTTCCCGTCGAAGACAATTATTTATCAATTTTTATTTGTGGTAATTGCAGAAAATACAACAGATCTATAAATAAGTGAACATGGCCGAAATTGTGATATAACCCCTTATAGGAGTTAAGTGGCCTTTGCCTATAATCTCGAAAACTTTTGATAGATAGAAACTGTAAACAGCAAAAATTATCAGAAATACATGATCCACAAATTCAAAAATGAAGGAAATCATTCCTTTAGAAGTCATTGGCTGTAAATAGGGGTGTTTTTAAATATTTCCAGTTTTTACCTTTTATCTTGAGAAATTATTTTTATAGATATTTAGAAACAATAAACAGTGCACATTTGCCAGGTGAGCGAATCAAATTCCTAGGAGGCTCTTGTTTTGTTATAGAATTATGTTGTGTCGTTATTGAATGGTTTAACCAGAGACATATTATACATTATATGTCTCTGATTTAACTATATATAAATATGATAGAAATGATTGTTTTTATTGCCACTTACAACCAATAATCCTTCAAACCACAAAATGTATACTATTGAAAAAGGTGCTCTAAAAGCTTTTAAGATTTCGTTAAATTTTCACATTTAAGATTGAAATCCAGTATAATTCCCATTTAGTAATTCTATATATCATATCCCCGATTGACTTACGATAAAATTATATACTATATTATGGCATTGCACAAGGTCATGTTTTTTTCTGTTTGTTAATGACGTCCTTACACTAAATCCATTGGATGTTGGGTGTGTACTGATTGATATTTTATCTTAGATACATGTTTTTTTCATTAGTTGTTATTGACTTTGAACTAGCTTTCAGTACTGACTGCGAGTACTGATCTGATGAGTTAAACCCTGTTGTACTGTTACACCACTGTCCCAGGTTAGGGGTAGAGTTTGGTGCTAGCAAACATGTTAAACTCCGCAACATTCTGTATGTGCCTGTCCAAAGTCAGGAGCCTGTAATTCAGTGCCGCGGTTGTCGTTAGTTACTGTATATCATATTTGTTTTTCGTTTATTGTTTTGAACATACATCATTAGTTTTCTCGTTTGAATTGTTGTACATTTGTCAGTTCGGGGCCTTTTATAGCTTACTATGCGGTGTGGGTTTTGCTCATTGTTGAAGACCGAACGGTGACCTATAGTTTTTAACTTTTACATCATTTGGTCTCTGGTGGAAAATTGTCTCATTGGCAATCATACCACATCTTCTTATTTTATATTGACATCATTTTTACGTTCTTGTGTCCGGGTTGAGCTTTTTTAATATAATGCGTTTGATTTTTTTGGTAATTTGGGTATGTGGATTTTTGGGGGATATGTGCCTGTATTATACATACGATACATGACCTTGACCTAATTTTTCTGCTCCAATGGTCAGGTGTAAGTGTTTGAATCTTTCTTTAAAAATTACACATGACAGATTGAAAATACTTGGTATGTGAATTCATTAGATCTCTGCTTCCGAGATAATAACCTTTTAAAATAACTCAAATATTACAAATATTACAGGCGTTACATGTTCATGTACCAACTCTTGTTTTCATCATCACATCTTAATTATATCGTAAGTTTTATTGCTACATTTTTGGGTGTTCGGCTAAAAATATTTATTAAGATGTCCTTGATAAACGACAATGTTATATAAGCATCCTTTTGTTTAATGAGGTGAAAAATATACTCTTGATTAAAGATTCAAATCAGGTATTTTCTATTTCATCATTTTTTTCAGTATATCACAGAGCGTAAAATGTCGTTAAACTTTGATCAACTTCCCTATTATGATCAATAGATTCAAAACGGAAAAATTGTAATTATTGAAACCCCTCGAACTTGACACTTTGTTACAGTCTCGTTACGAAAGTGCCTCTTCCGCTTTCATATTTTGGACAAAATGGAGTTTAGTGAAAGTTGGATTTATTTTTGTAAGTATGACGGTCTTCTATTTAAGAATCTTTTGATTTTGTGTATATTTTACTACATAGATTTTGTTGACATTAGGCAGTTTTAGAGGTTTACAACATTTTATCAATTAACCAATTTTTTTTTTTTTTTTGCTTGTTTGTGACAATAGCTTTTGTCAGTTTTTTCAAGTCCGTTTTTCATTTAGACTTAGCAGAGACGAAAACATAAATGAATAGTCGCATGCCCCTTATAATAAACAATACCAAAAAATTGGGAGTACACATAATTTTAAAGAGGAAACGGGATCGTGCGTATTTTATATTTGTCTCTATATAACTGTACATATTGCGAATGACAAAACACAGCCAGAATAGAGAAAGGATATGCCATTCATACCTGAAGCTTTCAAGCAACAAATTCCATATTAACTTTATTTAGCATTGATCAAAGAAGATATCTTAGTTTTACAAACAAAAGTTATTTTTACCTAGCCGTTTTGACCTATATAGTGTGCAAATTCATGTAGGAAGGTAATTCATATTTTATACATACTACATTGTTTAATTGTAAAATTATTTCATGTGTAAAATAAATCATCTCGGACACTAAAATTAGATGGAGATGTACCCTTTCGGCCTTTACAAACATGTATATGTGTCCTTTTAATGGTTTTCTAACCCGTTTTGATGACTAAAATATTAGCTGTTCAGAATGTTGCATATTGTAAAACTATAGTTGCATTAAGGCCTTAAAAAATTTCCAAAAAAAAGTCATTTGCAAGCGGCTTTCAATCTTTGTGGAATTGTCTTTGAATGATTCTTTTTGGTGGGATAATATCCATTTTGATAAAACATTCAAGGATTGGATTGGAGTGAGTCGGGTCAGTCGGTTTGAAGTTGTCTGTGTGTCTCTACTGTTAGATGCAAAACTGGTGGAATACAGATCTTTGTTTACTTGTCTTATCCTCACGTTCTGTCAATCGGGAAATGTGGTTGAAACCTCGAGAGACGGGCATTTATAAGCTAGGATATCCAAAACTGGACATGCGTATAAATATTTTCATATCTAAATATAACACTTTCACTTCTTAAAGGATCTATAGCGATCGATCTAAGCGTTTACACTTGAAGAAAGATCGATTAAAAAAAGATTTTTTTAAAACCACCTCTGGAGGTGGACTTTTTAAAGTCCGATTGAAGATCGATCTTTCCCGTTTACATTTGATCAAAGATCGATCTCAGGAAAGATTGATTTGTTTTGCTATGTCTAATATGTACAAAATTTAGTCCCTAGTCCCGGTATTCGATGAAATTTGAACATCGGTAAACAATTACTTTAATTCATAATATTATTGATAAGACTATTTAAAACTAGAGGCTCTAAAGAGCCTGTGTCGCTCACCTTGGTCTATGTGCATATCAAACAAAGGACAATCTCCAACATTGTAAGACTCTGCTTTTTACAGTTTATCTCTATCTGTAAGATAATAACCAAAAACTGCAAAATTTCCATAAAATTACCAATTCAGGGACAGCAACCCAACTACGGCTTGTCTGATTTGTCTGAAAATTTCAGGGCAGATAGATCTTAACCTGATGAACATTTTTACCTCTTGTCAGATTTGCCCTAAATGCTTTAGTTTAAGAGATATAAGCCAAAATCTGAATTTTACTCCTATGTTCTATTTTTACTAATTTTTTAGCCATGGCGGCCATGTTGGTTGGCAGGCGGGATCATCGGACACATGTTTTAAACTAGATACCCTAATGATGATTGTGACTAAGTTTGGTTAAATTTATCTCAGTAGTTTCACAGAAGAAGATTTTTGTAAAAGATTACAAAAAATTACAAAAAAATTGTTAAAAAATTACTATGAAGGGCAATAACTCCTTGAGGGGTCAATTGACCATTTTGGTCATGTTGACTTATTTGTAGATCTTACTTTGCTGTACATTATTCCTGTTTACAGTTTATCTCTATCTATAATAATATTGAAGATAATAACAAAAAACTGCAAAGTTTTCTTAAAATTACCAATTTATGGGCAGCAACCCAACAATGGGTTATCTGATTTGTCTGAAAATTTCAGGGCAGCTAGATCTTGACCTGATGAACAATTTTATGCATGTCAGATTTGCTATAAATGCTTTGGTTTTCAGAGATATAAGGCAAAATCTACATTTTACCCCTATGTTCTATTTTTAGCCATGGCCGCCATCTTGGTTGGCGGGCCGGGTCATCGGACACATTTTTTAAACTAAATACCTCAATGATGATTGTGGCCAAGTTTGGTTAAATTTGGTCTAGCAGTTTCATAGGAGAAGATTTTTGTAAAAGTTAACGACGACGGACGACGACGACGGACGACGGACGCCGGACGCCAAGTGATATTTTAAACCTTTATGGAAAATAAATGCATCACACATGGTCATGCATATGTTCCATTTGTCGAAGTTCTAACATACAACGCAATACGATTCATCACAGGATTTTGCATGTCATGAAAAAAGGACGGATGGCCACTGCATGATGGATCAGGAGCTTATCCCTTACAGGTGCTCCGAATTCGCCCCAAATTTTAAATGAGATTCTTGTGGTTTCTGTGAGGGTTTTTGCGATTTTTCAACCTATATGTGCTATTTCATTGCCTATGGTATAGACAAACTGCTTGGTTTTTTTTCATTACAGTTAAGATGGAGGTTAAGAATTTAGGGATGATTTAATTTTATTTATTATGTGTAAGTGTTATGTAAGAGACATCTGCCAAATTTGCCTTATCACCTATTTTGACTTCATTCCGGGTCGAATTACTTCAATTTAGATTATTAACCATAATAAAGTATAACGTTATCATGCTTATATTAAAACTTGTGTTTATAATTTGGTCTATAAACCATTTCCTGGTTGCTAAAATTGTCTACTTCTTTAGTGTCAGACACTATATAAATATAAAGATAAGAAGATGTAGTATGAAGATTACCGTACGGACTTCAACATTGAGCAAACCATACCACATAGCAAGCTATACAATGACACACAACGATTTAAAAGAGAAAATTACCAGCCTGATTTATGTACAAAACAATAAACAAACTATGTTCATATAATATTATACCTATATAGACACAGTAAAAGTATTTTAGATACCGCTCAATTATTGGATAGAACTTATTAAACATTTATTTGCGTGTTTTAAACTGAACTCTGAATCTAGTTTGTGAAATATCATACTAAAAATCAACACAAGGATATAGTTAAAATCAATTGTTTCAACATGTTTACCCATAACACTGAGAGCAGGTAGAAAAGCATGGATAAGACTAAGCACATGGCAAAGGCGAAATCTCTTTGATCTTAAGGTGAACATTAACTAACACAGATATACTAATACAAATGTACCAATGTACTTACCTAAAAATTGCGACATGCTTGATCAATTAACAACTATGTCCAAACTTCATTGTTTTGAAATATAATATTCAATTGAATGCTGTTTTCTTTTTGGATAGCAAGTACCGAATCATATTTTGCATGAAGCGCTTCTTTCTAATATGTGATTTGTCATTTTCTTTCATTTCGGATAAATTGGAAAAACAGCATTTAATTCTGATATTTACAGATTTTCGAAATAAAATATAGCTGTTACTGACATCTTGAATCTGAATGAAGAATTTCATCCTTAGAGCCGAGTTGTGCACTATAGCTACTATATACCGACTTGATTGTTCACAAAGTACATTTTTGAATAACGTTTCGACACCTAGAAAAAATACAGTACTTCATTATAGATAGTACAGTTGAATAGCCATAAACGTTTATATTATTACCTATCGCTTATATGTTAAAAAGCCTGAAAATGTATTCTAGCATATTCGCAAAAAATGCCATGAAAGCAATGCACGTAGGAGCAACAATTTAAATCAGTTTATATACATGTTTGTAATACACGGGAAAACCACATCCCAATTCAGTATAGTTCAATGGTAGAGCGACACGGATAATTCCGATTGTATTTTTCAGAGACAATCATCAAATTACTGGTAGTTTAGCAAATGTGTTTCAGATTTGGCCTCAACTCAGTATAAAAATAAGGACATGTTGGATGATTGCCAATGAGACAACTATCCACCAAAGTTCAAATGAAGTGGATGTAAGCAATTATAGGTAACCGTACGGCCTTCAACAATGAGAAAAACCCATGTCGTATTGTCGGCTATAAAAGGCCCCGACATGAAAAATATGAACCAATTTAATTGAGAAAACTGACGACATAATTTATAACAAAAAATTACTAAAAACAAATATGACAGACATGAAACAACGACAACAACTGAACTACAGGTTCCTGACTTTGGACAGGCACATAAATAATGTGGCGGGGTTAAACATGTTTGAAGGCGCCAACCCTCTCCTAACATGTGACAGTATTGTAACAGTACAACATAAGAACAAACTATCAAAACCAGTTGAAAAGGGCTGAACTCATTAGATCGATACAAAGCAGAAAAATATAATAACACAGACCTGACGTGACATGGTATTTATGCATCTCCCACAACAAAAAATACACAAAGTACAGAATAATGAGGTCTGACAGTTCTTGCAATTACTGACAGTTCTTGCAATTACTGACAGCTAGTTCAAAGTCAATAACAACTAACAAAAGAATCATGTATCTAAGAATTAAGTATCAGGTCCAACTAGTTTCTGGATTGCCTGAGAGTTTTCGTCTTTTTCAAGAATCGTTTTAGAATTGTTAATGGGAAACAAATTAGTTAGGGCTATGTTCTTGTTCTTTTTATTTGGAGTATCCATTGCTCCTGACAAACATAACTCGTTGGGATTGACTGAGTGTCATTTCCGTATTCCATATGACATTTATTATGTAGGTGCTTAATAATATTACAGATCTGTTTGCTCTTATGGCCAACCATTCGAAGGGAAACGCATCAGTTGTTTCGACTCCTGCGTGTTTGTTAATGCAGAGAGCAACATGTGGTTTAACCATACCTGATGATAGCTGTGTAAAAAGGTATGATATGTTTTAATAGAATACAGTTACGAATATCCATACCATAATCGTGATATTTTCGCGCTCTTGAATTTCACGAACGAATTAAATTGTACACGCGAATTTTTTTACATGAATTTCAAGTCGAATGAACTACTGTTAATTCAGAAATTATTGCATGCATTTTTTATAGCAATTTTTAAAGAAAGGACAAACATGCAAGATTGGTTATTACGATTTCAGGAAAATTTGCATACAGATACATGGATTGGATATCAAAATGCGAGTTCTTATTATTGCGATACTCACCCAGTCGTATTATTCGCATAAGTATAAACTCGCAATAATTTCTGAATTTACAGTATAATATAAACTGAAACTAATTCACCTGAAAGTTTCGATGAGTGCGAATTTCTCTTGCAAAATATCAATATATAAAAAATCACTTATATTATAATCTTAATATATCTACTTAGTTCAAGATGAAACTATTTTCATCCAAAGAGTTCATGCAATTCACACGTTACAAAAACATCGATTTTTACGTGAAATTCACGTAATAAGTAACAAATTCTCGACTACCAGCCGAAAACATATCATAACATTTGATGGTGACTTGTAGATGTAAAACTATTTACTTTTCCATTGTTGAATGTGGATAGATGTCTCATTGGTAACGACACTATATCTTCATTTTTCCGACAAACTGGGCGATAAGGAAACAATTAAATAATCAACTATTGTTTTTATATAAATGATATGCTGCGTCCTACACCAGCTGACCACATTTTAACGTTATACTAGTTTGTACATTCAAATTAATACACATTTTTCATACAGATGTTACGATAGAAATACTAACTTATGCAGTAAGTTGTTAAATTTCGCATATTTTTTTCTATATAGCCTTATATATATGTCTATTTCTCATCTATACTCGGTTTTAAATATGTACATCTTGGATGGACTTTGTTTTTACCATACTGTGATGACTGTTTTGTTTATATAATGAGGTATTTATTTATTTTTATTAGGATAGATGATTTTGTCGTTACAATGGCTCTGTATGGTACCAAAAGTGATTGTGAAAAACTTGACCTCAGTCCTTATAGTAAGTTAGTAAGTACAAGAGAAAAGGAGAGAGAGAAAGTGTGGATCAAATTATGTTTTTGTAAATACATTCTTTTATTCAAACTGTTGTTAGTTTTTATCTGTGTGTGTGTGTGTGTGTATATATATACTCGTCTCAAATTTAGCCCAACAATGTTAGATCTTCAAATTTACGTTAGCAAAATTTTGTTCTTCCCTCAGCGGGATTCGAACCCTTACTACTGTGAAATCGTGGCAACCCCGCCTACACTGTGTCCAGAGCCCTAGACCACTCAACCACCTAGGCTACATAAAAATATATCTTTCGGTGGTCGATGTAATGCCTTTCCTCGTCGGCTTTATCTAGGGTTGTAACACAGTACATGACGTATAGTGGCAAGTAGATGGTGTACCTTTCAGATCAGCTATTTTGTCTGTCGTTTCGTTTCCGACAATATCACTAGCCCAGTAGCCAGCACTTCTGTGTTGACATGAAATATCTTTGATACGTTCATTTTCTGTAAATTTACTGTGTATAAGATGTTGAATTATTTGAAATACTAAGGATTTTTTACCCCTAATCATAGATAGCCGTAGCCGTATTTGTCACAACTTTTCGAAATTTTGTATTTTTAAGGCTCTCCGACTCGTATTCAATTCGGCTCTTCAGCTGTTTTGATTCGAGATCCACTGATAAGTGTTATGTGGACGAAACGCGCTTGATAAGCCTGGAATCTTTTATGAGTTTCTATTGATTTACTGCATACTTTCTATTAAAAAAAGGAAGAACAAAATATCACTTTTGACCGGTTAAAATCAAATAAATCAAAAATATTATAGCCGACATGAAAGGAAAAACACACGAGACGAACCGAGAGCAAACAAATTTAATAGCAGACTTGTTCTTCTACTGTATTAATCACAGTTTTTGACCAAACTCAGTAAAGACCCGTCTAAATTGCATTTAATTGATAATTTCAACAACACTTACCGTTATCTTGATGATATTTTTTTGTTAAATAATCAAGTAATTTCTAAATATAATGCCGAAATTTACCCAAAGGAACTTTCTTTAAGTAAATCAAATATAAACGGTAATAACTGTCCTTTCCTAGATTTAGATATTACAGTTTAACACGGGAAACTCTTCACTAAAATTTACGACAAAAGGGACGATTTTTCGTTCCCTATTGTTAATTTTCCTTTTTTGGACGGTGATGTTCCTTTGACACCATCTTACGGTGTTGATATATCACAACTAGTTCTCTATGCCCGTGTCTGTTGTGACGTTTTGGATTTCAATGAACGTAATCTATGTATTACTGGTAAATTATGAAATCAGGGATTTCGTTACCACAAATTACTTAAAACCTTCTTCCATAGATATAAAGATTTGGTTTTGAAATTTGGTTGTACCTTTAGAAAACTTATTTCAAACGGGATAGCACATCCTTATTTTTACGCAGTTTTTGGTTATTATTTTGAATATTATTATAGATAGAGATAAACTGTAAACAGCAATAATGTACGGCAAAGTAAGATCTACAAATAAGTCGACATGACCAAAATGATCAATTGACCCCTTAAGGAGTTATTGCCCTTTATAGTCAATTTTTAACTTTTTTTGTCAATTTTTGTAATCTTTTACAAAAATCTTCTCCTCTAAAACTACTGATACAAATTTAACCAATCTTGGCCACAATCATCATTAGAGTATTTAGTTTAAATAAATGGTGAATGTGTCCATGGGACACAGATGATGCCCCCGCTTGTATATAACGTTATAAAGGGGTATAACTCAGGAACTTTAAAAGTGACGCTACCCAAATTTGTACTTGATCTGAGTTTTGTGGTAAGAAGCATTGTGCATAAGTTTCATAGCATTTGGTTTTGGCAAACTAAAGTTTGAGAACAGAAACAAATATTTCAGGAATTTTTCCATTTGTAAAGGGGTATAACTCTAGAACGGTAAAAGTGACGCCACCAAAATTCAAACTTGATCTGTGTTTTGTGGTAATAAGCATTTTGGTATAAGTTTCATAACATTTGGTTGAGGCAAACTAAAGTTAGAGAACGGAAACCAATTTTGGGACATACGTACGTACGTACATACAGACGGACAAGGGTAAAACTTAATGCCCCCTCCTCGACGGCGGGGCATAAAAATGTGTCAGATGGCCCCGCCTTCCAACCAACATGGCCGACATGGCTAAAATTAGAACATAGGGGTAAAATGCAGATTTTGGCTTATATCTCTGAAACTAAAGCATTAAGAGCAAATCTGACGGGGTAAATGTTCATCAGGTTAAGATCTATCTGCCCTGAAATGTTCAGACAAATCAGACAACCTGTAGTAGGGTTGCTGCCCCTGAATTGGTAAAATTAAGGCAATTTTGCAGTTTTTGGTTATTATCTTGAATATTATTATAGATAGAGATAAACTGTAAACAGCAATAATGTTCAGCAAAGTAAGATCTACAAATAAGTTAACATGACCAAAATGGTCAATTGACCCCTTAAGGAGTTATTGCCCTTTATAGTCAATATTTAACAATTTTTTGTAATTTTTTGTAATCTTTTACAAAAATCTTCTCCTCCGAAACTACTGAGACAAATTTAACCAAACTTGGCCACAATCATCATTAGGGTATTTAGTTTAAAAAATGTGTCTGATGACCCCGCTTACCAACCAACATAGCCGACATGTCTAAAAATAGAACATAGGGTAGAAATGCAAGTTTTGTCTATTATTTTTTGAACCGTTATAAATAGAGAAAATCTGAAAGGAGCAAAAATGTTAAGAATAATGAGCTCTACCAATTGTTCATATACGTGAAAACTGTTAGACAAATTCTTATAGGAGGTATTGCCCATAAATGACAAATTTTACCATTTTGTTTTTCATTTTTGCCTATTATCACAAAAACTATGATATTTAGAGAGAAACATTTTTTTTCCGTTATGCCTTATATGATTTAAATTATAATAGATAAATAAACACTTTAAATCACAAAAATGATCAGCAAGGCAAGATCTATTAAAAAGTCAAATTTTGCCGATATAGTTAGTAGACTGTTACTCTTCATAGGAGTGATTGCCCTTAAATGAGGATTTTTTTTACCCTCTTTTGTGTTTTGAGCAAACACTAAAGAAGATAGAGAGAAACTAAACAGACTAAAAGATCAGTAAAACAAGATCAACAAAATAGAGATTTTTGTCTTGAAGTCTATTCTCGTCTACAATGTTGGAGAGTGTCCTTTGTTTGACATGCACATAGACCAAGGTGAGCGACACAGGCTCTTTAGAGCCTCTAGTTGGTATTAATATTGATTTTGTTATCAGTAAATTGAAATCAAACAAAATATTATTTTTATATACATATGCACATTCATGGCTCTACAATCTGTCGATACCTGTATCTTGGCATTGCACAAGGTAAGGTTTCTCGGACTGTTAATGACGTCTTTACACTAAATCCATTGGATGTTGGATGTGTACTGATTGATATTTTAGTCTTAGATGCATGATTTGTTTTATTAGTTGTTATTGGCTTTGAACTAGCTGTCAGTAACTTCGAGTACTCTCAGATCTGTACTTGGTGTCTTTTTGTTGTGGGGATGTATAAGTACCCGACCACGTCCACTCTGTGTTTTTGTTATATGTATTTCTATTTATATCCATCTGATGAGTTAAGCCTTTTTCAACTGATTTTTATAGTTTGTTCTTATGTTGTACTGTTACACCACTGTCCCAGGTTAGGGGAGGGTTGGCGATTTCAAACGAGTTTAACCCCGCCACATTCTGTATGTGCCTGTCCCAAATCAAGAGCCTGTAATTCAGTGGTTGTCGTGTTGCTGTGTAACATATTTGTTTTTTGTTCATTATTTTGTACATAAATTAGGCCGTTAGTTTTCTCATTTGAATTGTTTTACATTTGTCATTTCGGGGCCTTTTATAGCTGACTATGCGATATGGGCTTTTTGATAATTGTTGAAGAACCTATAGCTGTTTATTTCTGCGTCATTTGGTCTCTTGTGGAGGGTTGTCTCATTGGCAATCATACCACATCTTCTTTTTATAAAACACATAAATAGGAAGGAACACTACAGTTTAGTAGACAATGGTTAGTGTTAATCGTATTTCTGTTATTCATAAATGTTCAATTTCCATTTAGTAAGCTGTCTGAAAGAACTCAGAAAAGCATCCAAGTATGTTGGTATCTCTGGGGACTACATATTAGACTACCCATGTATGTCAAAAGGTAACGTATAGTGTAATTTTTCCTGTCTTTCCTGTTTGCTACCGCATGTCCAATACACTCAATTTTCGACCACCAATTAAATTGATGCCTGCAAATTTTTTAGTACATACTCTTATCTCTTGAGTTTTTTTTAATTTATGTTGCTTGGTTGTTGTCTCCTAAACTACATTTACCCTTCATTTCTGTTTACAGAAGTTAAAATACTAACCGTACGTTTCACATGCATCTGAAATAATAACGTCGAGTTCATTTACGCATAGTGGTATGTCTGGTGACGTAATCAAATATAAAATTTGTATGGCCTTGTCAGATGAAATGTCTGCTAAATAGTCGAAACGGAATACCACTTGGTGCGCCTACATTATCAAATTCTCCTTCAGCGGATGCATCAAAGTCACGAACATGATTAAACCAGTAATGAAGTTGGTATAATGGGAATGATATGTTACATGGCATATAGTCGTTTCAGCTATAAGTTTTTCTTATAGTTTCGAGTTGTTCGTCATCGTAAATCTAGGTAGATAGTAGAATATCCTGTCTCTTTATTATTCTTAATTTCTAATTAATTTGGATATATATAGGATAATTGAGTAAACAACATCATCAATATTTATTATCAGGATAGTGAAATTCATTTGAAGAACTTTGCCATAGTTTATTTCTTATTGTAAGGAAATTACTATAGTACTTTGGAAGGTTTATGTTTAACATCTAGGAATGAAATAGATATCTCTATAAATCACGTGTAGATAGCATTTATTTCAAAATATGATGTATTCCAAATAAAAAAGGATATCAAGAGAAGACTGAACACTTTATTAGCCTCTAACACATCCAATGTTCAAGAGGTTAAAGACATAACATACAATATTGCATTGGTGACAACAAGGAATAACAAACAAAAAAAAAAGAAATGCATTTTTATAACACTTCAATGATTGAGACTTAAATAAAGGTTGTTTTTTGTAAAAACAGTGCACTAGCAAAGGTTACGTTATACTAGTAATTAAAAGTGTCGTCGATACATGCTGTCGTATGTTTGATAACTAATTTTTAAACCAAAGCTTAATATGCTTATGAAATGCGTGATGAGTTCAGAAATGTTAACCGATTTGTTTTCAATATTGATATATTTTCATACCTTTTGAGTAGGCTGTGGTATTAATGCATCAGATTGTGGAAACATCTCTAATAAGCTAACATCTACAAGCATACACTTAACAGGTAATAGTCGCATGTTACCTTTACTACATTAACGGTTCCCGGGAGACATTTGAACTCCTTTCAATTGTTTTTAGTTCGCCTTTATTTACGAATTTATGTTGTATAACGCTTTTGTATAATAAAATATTAAGTTGGAAATGTAGTTGCAAGAAGAAATATATTAATCAAACTTTAACTTTCTAAAGAAACTTATGAAATATGGAAATAGATGTCAAAGCTTCTTAATGATTTTTAAGATTTGTTCTATATATTTACAATGATTTTTAAGATTTGTTCTATATATTTACAATGATTTTTAAGATTTGTTCTATATATTTACAATGATTTTTAAGATTTGTTCTATATATTTACAATGATTTGCAAAAACTGTACTATGTATGACAAGCTGACTGATCCAAAAATTTGACATAACGTAGTCACATTCAAATGAACCCAGACGACCAAAATTTAGTTTTGTATGGACTCTTAGATCCATGTTGGATTAGTTTCAGCAATACATTAGGTATTTGACCAAACACTTATTATTTCGATTCTGAAAAGATTGACATTCTTATTGATAGGATAAGAAATGATTTTTATATCTTTAAAATGATTACACTAATTTAAACAAAAAGTATACATAAATGCATATCTTACTTATATAAAATTTTTGCTATGTGATCACACGAATGTTGCACTTCTATATACCTGTGTATATATTATAAGGATTCAGAGATAATATATACATATCTACAAATATACTTATATACAGAACCACTAAAAAGTATCTTATTATGATCCTACTTTCACCTATTTCTGTATATTCATACACGCCTTTCTATTCCCTGAACTTGCTTATAATTACAAAATATTTATATGCTGTATATAGAAATATCCAATAGCAAACTCAAGTTGTGATAAAGTAATAACTGGATTAACGACATTTGTAGTTTTAACTGATAATGAATTAAAACAATACAATTCGGTTAATTATGTGGACATGTTTCTGTATGTTGATATATTGAGGACAAATATCCGATTAACATGTCTACTCTGTTTAATCCAAAAATCAAAATTCAATCATTTAATTTGTTTTATGTTTTGTGTGTAAAAAATAAACACCAGCTGTACCTTAAAGTACTTCAGCACTTTTATTTGATTGACAGATGATGAGACTTTTCTTATGTCGCCAGCTGGCCTCGTAATTATGTTCCTTGGAGGAATTTTAACAGGAGTTCTTGTTACATCTGTTATCTTTATTGGGTATATTAGATGGATGAAAGACCAGACTTCAAAGTGAGTATTTGAAAAAAAATACATTTGTATCGTAAAATAAAACTCTCTGTCTTCTCTTCTGTATTGTTTAAGTTTTGTTCTGTTCAAATATTAATTGTTATAAAAGCACCAGATAACCAGGATTTGTCGAAGAGAGTAAAGTTTCAGAGCAATAAATGTATACAGTGTACTAATGATCACTAATACTTGATGGCAGTTAGTTTTCTCTTTTGAACGGTTTCACATTTGTCATTTCGGGGCGTTTTATATAGCTAGCTATGCGATATGGGTTTTGCCCTTTGTTGAAGGCCGTATGGTGATCTATAGTTGCTAACGTCTACGTCACCTGGTCTTTGGTGAAGAGAAATCTCATTGACAATCATACCACATCTTCCTGTTTGTATATTGAAGACAAATTTGACAGTTAGAAACGAGTGTATACTATACACCAAGTTATTTTTGTTGTTGTGAACGACTGCGAAGTAGAGACACCGGTAATACAAAATGACTGCTAACAACTTATTAAATAATAAGTTGTTTGAACTAATCTTAGATTTGACTGACGGTCGTTTTCTCTTTGTTACGGTCGTTTTCTCTTTGTTACAACACGGACATTTCCATTGCCTGGGTTAAATAGATATAAGAAGATGTGGTATGAGTGCAAATGAGACAACTCTCCATCCAAGTCACAATTTGTAAAAATAAACCATTATAGGTCAAAGTACGGCCTTCAATACGGAGCCTTGGCTCACACCGAACAGCAAGCTATAAAGGGCCCCAAAAATGACTAGTGTAAAACCATTCAAACAGGAAAACCAACGGTCTAATCTATATAAAAAACAAAAAACGAGAAACACTTATGATCCACATCAACAAACGACAACCACTGAACATCAGGTTCCTGACTTAGGACAGGTGCAAACAAATGCAGCGGGTTTAAACGTTTTAATAGGCGCCAACCTTCACCCTACCCGAAACAATAGTGTAACATCACAACATAGAAAGACACACTATAAAATATCAATTGAAATGGCTTAACTCAATCAAATATTAACAAAAACATGTGAACATACACTGAACGAATAAAATTGATCTATGACACAATGTAAATACAAAATTCATAAAACAAGGGGTTAGATGTAAAACAATATCAAAAAGACAACCATAACCTTGGACAAAACTAAAAACTTAAAAACTATATTGTCACATCTATTTGTTCAAATATCGAAGACAATTTAAAGACAGTTAGCACAGTTATAATTGGAATGTTATGCTACAATATCGGAAGATCAATAAAACAAATAGTCTTTTTTATTAGTGTCATCCTTTTCTAGATTTTGATATTTCAGACATGCGTTCATGTTGTGACAGCCATTTTCTGTAATAAAATCAAAACTTTTTAGACTCGGGACTATGCATTATATACTTTTGTAGAAATATCCGTTATACATGTCTCTATCTATATTCTTTTTTTTATGAATAAAAAACTAGACACCTGTTTCAATCTTCCTCGTTAAATGGAGGTACTGAACAAACAAAAACCAAAGTACAACAAATAACTGTGTCGAGTTACCAGGAACCGCATTGTATTATCAGATAGTTTCCTGTGTTGAATAACTAGGACTTGCTATACAAAACTGATTTCCTGGAAGTCAGCCATAAGGGAAGTTGATATCACCATTCAGTCTACGTCTGTTATAAATCAAAATAATAGTTTGATACGTCTCTTTCATTTTGAACTGGTCAGTGGTCTTGTTGGCGATCTCGTTTCGAGTGCTGGGGGTTGTTGAATCGATCCCCGGCCCAGTAAAACCAAAGACTTAAAAAGTTGATAATTGTTGCTTCTTCGCTAAGCATACGGCATTTAGGAGTAAGAGCAAAAAATGATCACTCCGGTCAGAATAATGTATCCGGGAAGGGATACATGCTTTCCCGGCCGGGTAAAACCGGAGTATCATATTAACATATTTCTTCCGAAACATAGATTTAATTTGCCACTAGATGTTAAACAGTCATCCATCATCATCATCTTTCCTTTTGAGTCATTGTTGAGCATGCATTTTTACACATGCATGTACTAGCAAAAGGCAACTTAAAAATGAGGGAGGAAGATACTAAGAAGGCATTAAAAAATCAGAAGTTAAAGAAAATATGACCACACCATTACCGAAAGAAATGTCAGAAAGATCTTCGAAAAAGTCTTTTAATTCAATTAAATGGTCATCCGAACATCTGATTTCTTATTTATTTGCTGCAACTCATTTTTAAGACGCCTTCTGTACTAAACAGATAAATATGCAATATATACTTACTGGGACTGAGATGAATAAAGCAGATAGTTTCTACTTTTTTAACATCCATGTGTACGTTTCGGTAATACAGTTTATCGACAGGTTTATGTATAACTATTTGCAAAATTGTGCCCTTTCAGACACAGATTTGTTCCTGTATTGTTATGAATTAAAGTTAATTGTCAAACTTAGTGAAGATCCGTCTTAATTATATTTAATAGAAAAATGCAATAAACTTACCGTTACCTTATTGCTTTAAATAACCAATAATTCTCTGATAATCATACTATTGAAATTAACCACAGGGATATGACTTTAAATAAATCTATAATCAACAGCAATAATTGTCTTTTTCATGATTTTAATTATTTTAGTTTTACACGTGACACTCTAAATTAAAATAAATGACACACTAAAAGAGACTACTTTTCTTTCTCTATTGTGTGGGTCTTATTGGGGTCTAAGCGTGACGCGGGATTGGCCGATTTTTTTGTAAGCGTGACACGTGAAAGTCAAATTATTTTGCGTTAAAACGGGAAACGCATTCGGGCGGGACACGTGAAATTAAAAGCGCTAGTTTAACAAAGATAAGCGGGATACGGGATTCTGACAAAACAATAAGCGGGATCCGGGATCACAACACCCCCCCCCCCTTTTACAATGAGACCCCCTATTGTTATTATATCAGGTATGTTGTTAAAGCAAATAACATGAAAAAAATGAAAACAACGCTTTATAAATTTCATGCATCCGAAGCACTTTTCTAGATTTATCTTCATCAGGAACGCTCAAAATCAAATATTGTAAAAGCCAAGGATTCATAAGAACCGAAGCAGTTGAAGGGTAATATGACCAAAAAGGATCTTAGTATAATAGCCAAATCCATCTAAGGTCAACTTTGCCTGAGGGAGTTGAAACCTAAGTTTCTTAATAATTTCTAAATTCATAAACGGACAATTTAAGAAAGGTTTGTTATACCTTTACTAAATTCTTTCATAGACACATACTGTTACATGTAGAAATCTTATTACAATAGCGATGTCAGATCCTAATTTTTGCAGAGATGTTGTTTCTATAGGCATTGTAACATAAGATACGAGCCAAATCAGCGAATTGTTCATTTCAATAAACTTATTCATTATGCATTGCAGTCAAATTTTTTGATAATTTCTACTAGGTAATTTTCGTATTAGATTAATTGTATTATTATTAGTTTAGTGTAGATATTTAAACGGATATTGCTATCCAGCAGCCGGTTGTACGAACGTGACATTAGCCTAATGGGTCATTAAGTCTTCATTAAGCCTTTATGATGCACTAGGCTAATGAAGACTTAATGACTCATTAGACTAATGACACGTTCGTACAACCGGCTGCAGATATTAACATTTGTATCCTGTCGAAACATATATTTTGACATTACAAAAAAATCATTATTTTCTCACACTGCTTCTGATGTTTTAACACTAAATCCGTTGGAAGTGTACTGATTGTTATCTTAGTCTGGGAAACATGATGTATGTATAAGTTGAAATTGGGCTTTGAAGTAGCTTTCAGTAACTGTGAGACCTCTTAGGTAGATTCTGCGTGACTTTGTCTTTTTGATAGTTGTTTTGTGCTTAGTACCGATCTTATGTCTCAAACCGTTTTCAGACTTTGTGTCGTTAATACGTTAATAAAGTAATAACTCCACAAATTCGTGTGTCACGCAGGTATCGTCCGTTTGTAAATTTTTTTTCTTTTAGTTGTTGTGGTTCAACTATTCAAACGTGACCTTCCATTATGCCTAAGTATTTAACTTTACATGTTTTTATATAGACAGGAAAATACGTACTTAGATTTAGACCTGAGCGTTGACAATGAAGAGAAACAGCCAGAGCGTACGCAAAGGGGTTCTGTAGCTTTTGTCAGAGAGATAGCGTCTGTTTACTATAGTCAACCAGTCAATGTTGGAGAGGAATCACCAAAAGTAAGTATGTAGCAGATAAATATGGAACAAAAATGTTGAAATGGTTAGATAATGATTCAATGTGAAAGTAAAGACAAAGAGCGTCGAATAGAGGGAAAATGACGATGTTTTTTTTCTTCAGAAAGTGTTCATCCTAAACAAACATATCGCAATACCTAATGATGAGTGAAACGATTGTTGAAGATGACATGTTTTAAACTTGTTTAGGGGTTAAATTGTTTTTATGAAATCATTTAAATATTCTCAAAAGTTTCTATATGAAGCAAAACTTGAACAAGAATTGCCGACTGAGCTTATAACAAAACTGTAAAGGGTTTATGTTTTGAAAGAAAGATTAATAGATTATTAAAAAGACTTTATTCAAGAATTTTATATTGATCTTATAGCAACTTATGAGACGTATTCCATATGGAGGATGAATTTTTGTTGACTTTTACCTGATTTATAACATCTCATTGTTAATTAAAATTTTGTATGTTTACAGGATCGTTCTTCGTCATCGGTAAGAAGTCGAATATTTTCATGGTCCTCATCAAAGTCGAGAAAATCTTTTACTGACAGAAAATCAAGCCTGAATAAAATACCACATAACAGTAAATCTGCAGCAAAACAAATGTTCTCCTATGAACAACCAGTTCCTGAAGAAGGCAACGATTATGTGGACCTAGATTCTCCAACTACCTCAACGCAAAAGTTGGATTATGAAAACGAGAATACTGAACATAAAAACAAAAGTAATCCAATTACATTCATTGATGCAGATGAGGATCAAACAAAAAATCCATTGAATGTGCTAGAAAACCAGACTGAAAAATCAATTCACAATTATGCAACAACAGACGAATTGCATAGCAAGACTGAAAATCCTTACAGTGATAATAAACAGAAAACGACCGACCAAATTTGACGATGATTTCAAATAACATACAGTTTTTCAAAGCAAGTTTTACATCAAGTTTCAGAACTGTTCCAATATTTAATCTTAGTTAGGAACAAATTCTGAAAATTCTAAATCAATACAAAATGTGAAATAATAGATCATATACTATTTCTTCAAGCATTTGCCTATATCCGTCCTTTAGTTCTAGACTGAAATATAAATCTAAGGAAAGAAATATTATGGTTTTATCTTGCCATCTGATAAAAACCTCACCAAAGATACCAGAATTATCAGCTAGTACACCAGACATGCGTTTTGTTTACACAAGACTCGTCAGTGGCGCTCAAAATAAAACAGTTAAAGGTAAAATCAAATACAAATTTGAAAACAAAATGAACATTAACCGCAATGACTTAGATTCAATCATTTCAGTTTTACACGAGAAACTCTACACAAACATTTACGACAAAAGGGACGATTTTTCTTTCCCTATTGTCAATTTTCCTTTTTTGGACGGTGATGTTCCTTTGGCACCGTCTTACGGTATTTATATATCTCAATGCGTTCGCTATGCCCGTGTCTGTAGTGATGATTTGGATTTCAATGAGAGTAATCTATGTATTACTGGTAAATTATTAAGTCCGGGATTTCGTTACCACAACTTACTTAAAACCTCAACTAAATTTTTCCATAGATACACATACTCGGTTTGGAAGTTTGGCTGTACCTGTAGAAAACTTATTTTAAATGGAATAGCACATTCTAGATTTCACGGTGATGTTGTTCACCAAGCCCGGAATTTTAGATACGATACGGGTAAACTTATCAATCATTGAAATAAACTTATTCTAAAAGGTTACTAATTCAACACTGTAATTAGGTCTTTGAATATTGTTTTTATCGGTATAAATGTTGATTTTGTTATCAGTAGATTAAAACCATACTAAATATTAGTGATACACATATGCACATTCGCGGTACTACAATCTGCCGATACCTATATTTTGGCATTGCACAAGGTCATGTTTTTCTCTGACTGTTAATGACGTCTTTACACTACATCCATTGGATGGTGGGTGTGTACTGATTGATATTTTAGACTTAGATATATGAATTTGTATTAGTTATTGGCTTTGAACTAGCGGTCAGCAACTGCGAGTACTCTAAGATCTGTACTTTGTGTCTTTTTGCAGTGAGGGATGTAGAAATACCCTGCCACGTCCGGTCTGTTTTTTTCTTAGATATGTTTCTGCTTTGTACCGATCTGATGAGTTAAGCCCTTTTCAACTGATTTTTATAGTCCCGGGTTAGGTGGACGGTTGGCGCCTTCAAACATGTTTAATCCCGCCACATTCTTTATGTGCCTGTCCAAAGTCAGGAGCCTGTGGTTCAGTAGTTATCATTGGTTCATGTCTGCCATATTTGTTTTTCGTAAATTGTTTTGTTATAAATCAGGCCGTTACTTTTCTCAATTGAATTGTTTCATATTTTTCATTTCGGGGCCTGTTATAGCCAACGATACGGTATGGGTTTTTCTCGTTGTTGAATGCCGTACAGTTGCCTATAATTGCTTACATCCACTTCATTTGAACTTTGGTGGATAGTTGTCTCATTGGCAATTATACCACATCTCCTTATTTTTATATGTAAACACAAATCTGAAAGAATACCGATGTTAGGGTTATAAGCAAACAATGAATAAGGAGAAACAAGGTTTGCTGGCATGTCAGTTAACTGCTAGTAGTCTGTTGTTATCTATGTATTATTGTCATTTTGTTTATTTTCTTTGGTTACATCTTCTGACATCAGACTCGGACTTCTCTTGAACTGAATTTTAATGTGCGTATTGTTATGCGTTTACTTTTCTACATTGGCTAGAGGTATAGGGGGAGGGTTGAGATCTCATAAACATGTTTAACCCCGCCGCATTTTTGCGCCTGTCCCAAGTCAGGAGCCTCTAGCCTTTGTTAGTCTTGTATTATTTTTAATTTTAGTTTCTTGTGTACAATTTGGAGTTTAGTATGGCGTTCATTATCACTGAACTAGTATATATATTTGTTTAGGGGCCAGCTGAAGGACGCCTCCGGGTGCGGGAATTTCTCGCTGCATTGAAGACCTGTTGGTGACCTTCTGCTGTTATCTGTTCTATGGTCGGGTTGTTGTCTCTTTGACACATTCCCCATTTCCATTCTCAATTTTAATAAAGAGATAAAAACTTTATACATGTTAGGAAAATTGACAAAGACAAACAATATTACGTTCAGAAATATTTACTCTATCTCGATTCTAATTCCTTCCTTATTTTTTAAATTTATTTTATGAAAATAAGGTGACGCACTATTTTGTAATAATCAAAGGTCGATTTTTCATTTGCATTAACCTGGTTCCCTAAATGTTTCCTTGACAAACATTCAAGGCTATTTTAGAAATAAATGGGGTCACTACCGCGCATCATATGTATTCTAACTTCCTTAATATATGTTTAATCGTGTATTTTTGTAAGCTGATATCTAGTTGACTAACCATATCTTTCAAATTGAATATGAACTTTATTCGGTAATTATTATAACATATCAACGAATTTATGACAAAGCACGATGCACGATACTAAGTCTTTCCTAGAAAAAAAAGTATTTGCTGAAAAATTATGGGTGTAACAATTAAATTTTGTCGAAAAAGATATGTGTCTGTAATTAAACAGTAACTTAAACGATCACAATAACAAATTGTCTTATCCATTTCAGTTAAATAATTTCCATCAAATAGATCTTTAAAATATAGTCCACCAACATTATGCAGTCCGGTATGCGGTTTAAATGGAACAAAAGAATTTGAACTCCTGTGTTTAGAAGGTAGAAAGTGAAATGAACTTTGTATACGGTTGCCAAGATGGCACAAAAGTTACTTACCGTCAAAACACTATGATTATTTGCATTGACGTTGATCCATAGTGTTAAACCGTTAACAATGCAACTTGCAAACAATCGTTTTTATAACGTCCAGAAGTCCAGCTGTTACGTCAATTAGGGGTCTCCTTATAAACTGCTACTTTTTTTTGCCCGACATAGAAAAAATCTGGGGAAAATTACGAATATTGAGAAATGAATTATCAATCGGTTAAGACCATTCCCAAAGTGGCACACCTTAATTTGACATTTGTACGCAATTTCAAAGTTGGATGTTATCTGGCGGGGTTTTCCAATTGATTAACGCATCGAACATACCCCGTCATATATATATATATGTAACATCACCTGACTGTTTAGTGATTAAAACTATTATTTATAATGGTATTTGCATATTGGATATGTGTTTTTAATAAAACAAATACAATAACTCTGACAGTCATATTTTCTGTATTATTTAAAGTTTTGTTACACATTGTGTTTGACCTCGGTTATGCGGTAACCCGGATTGGTTGAACATTTGTCAAGTTGAATTCTTGGGGTAGCATAGATTTATATCGTTGTATTCCTCTTGTCTGTGTTAACAATTGTATTTTCGGAAAAAAATTAGATACATCTAACACTGATCTTGTAATTTCTTGTAATTTTGTTTGTGTCTAATTTCTTTGGTGTCATGTTTAACTTTTGGTTATGGTTGCGTTCGGTCGTACAATATTGCCCGAGTCGAAAGTTGCCCGCCAACATGGTGTGATCTTGTTATTTCTTGTGACTCTTTGCGTCTTATTTGTGGATTGCAATTGTTTCTTTTGTGTCATATGTGTCGATCGTACAACGTTTTAAAAGTCGACAGTTGCCCGCCGACATGGTGTGATCTTGAGTTTTCTTGAGATGTGTTTGCGTGTTAAATTGGGATTGCAGTTGTTTCATACATTGATTTCTTTTGTGTTATATTTGTTCTCGATCCTATAACATCTTACAATTGCCCGCCGACATGATATGATATTTTTTTTCTTTGATCGCGGATATTATTCATAAGATTTATTATTATATTATATTATTATTATTATTTATATCTTTTTCTTTTTTTAATAGTTTACCCACAGCCGAAAAGTTGTGAGACATTTAGAATCGTGCATACGAGATCTTGACTAAATTAACAGTTTTACATGAGACTCAATTTTATAATAGTACTTCGCATAAGAACTCGCCTGTATTATAGTTCTTTACTTAAATAACCGTCCTAATGTCAGTTGTGTTAGTTCTTCACAACTCAGAAACAGATTCACTTAATATTAAAGTTCTTCACATAAGGACCCACTATTATTAGTTTTTACCTCATACGGGCTTATTATAATTTCAGTTTTTCTCGTACATGCTCACTATTACAACAGAAATTCACATATTTACTCATTATTATTAGAGTTTTTTACATTAGGACTCGCTATAGTATTACAGTTCTTCACACAATGACCCATTAGTATTAGTTCTGTACATTAGGACTCGCGTATATAAGAGATCTTCACACAATGACCCATTAGTAGTAGTTCTGTACATTAGGAATCGCTATAGTATTACAGTTCTTCACACAATGACCCATTAGTATTAGTTCTGTACATTAGGACTCGCGTATATAAGAGATCTTCAATTATGACTTATATTAATTAAAGTTCCAATAAGAACTCACTATCATAACAATTCTTCAAATAAGGACCCACTAACTAGTACACGAAGTTCTTCAAATAAGGACCCACTAACTAGTACACGAAGTTCTTCAAATAAGGACCCACTAACTAGTACACGAAGTTCTTCAAATAAGGACCCACTAACTAGTACACGAAGTTCTTCACATAAGGACCCACTAACTAGTACACGAAGTTCTTCAAATAAGGACCCACTAACTAGTACACGAAGTTCTTCACATAAGGACCCACTAACTAGTACACGAAGTTCTTCAAATAAGGACCCACTAACTAGTACACGAAGTTCTTCACATAAGGACCCACTAACTAGTCCACGAAGTTCTTAACATAAGGACCCACTAACTAGTACACGAAGTTCTTCAAATAAGGACCCACTTACTAGTACACGAAGTTCTTCACATAAGGACCCACTAACTAGTACACGAAGTTCTTCAAATAAGGACCCACTTACTAGTACACGAAGTTCTTCACATAAGGACCCACTAACTAGTACACGAAGTTCTTCAAATAAGGACCCACTTACTAGTACACGAAGTTCTTCATACTTACGTACTATATATACGTATATATTACTCTAGTGTATTTTCATAAATGTTTGAATTTTTTGGGTCCTATTTAGAGCTTACAAT